ATATGTATGATATTGGGAGGGGGAAGTGGGGTGGCAGAATGGGGGAGGGGGGTTGTCATTTTGAGGGGTAAAAAGTATAACTATTGCACTGTGTTGTACAGCTGAAACTAATTTTAAAAAATGTGTATTTCACAATAAAAAAATAATTAAAAAATAATTCTGTCCTAGAGTGTAAATTCTTCTGTAACGACTTTTGCTCATGAATGCCAAATGAATGAATGCTGAATGGATGAGCCACAGGCATCAGTCCTTATAAAAATTTGAAAAAAATGCATGATTAATGACAAAACAAATGATAAGTATAATCTCCATGCTTGAAAATAAGTTCAAGTATAACTTTTGCCATTGTTCTTTATATGGTAAATTTCCCACCTTCCCATAGACTGTCTTGGCCATTAGTAAGAAACAGTCTGCTTTTAGAGAAACTTCCAAAAGCTAGATGGGTTTATATTGTAAAATAAAATATATTTATTTTATTATGAAAAAAATTGATAATACCCTGTTATTTTCTGTTTTTATAGATAATATAAAGTTTAAGCACAGAGAGTTAACACTATTTGTCCAAGATGACTGCATTTAGGCAGCAAATCCCATTATAATTCATTTTCCCTTATACCCACAGCAGTCCTTTATAATACTTAGATATTTTTAATACAACAAAATCCAAAACATTGTGAAAAGGCATTGACAGGCAAGAAAGAAAGAGCAACAACCATTAAAACTTAGCTTTGCAAATGCATTCAGATATATTCAGAGACTGTGTTCTTAGACTTTTAAAACTTGGTCATTTTAAGAGTTCAAATAGTTTTTTAAAAATTCCTCTCTTCATCCTAGTATCTATTTGAGCTAAAGATATCTTAAGCAGAATAGTATACTATCAAAGAATTACAGTGTAAACTGATGACAAATTTGATAAGCATGAAGACTTTTTTAACTTAAGAAAGCCTATTCATCCCACTAGGTTCAGTTAAAACTATGCAGATCACTTTTCAAAAATACAGTTTGAGGTTTCTATTAACAAGTAAACAAAAGGAAAAGCCTACATCTGGTGAAGCTCTACAGCATTTTAAAAGTAGAAACCATCTAATCACAGCAAAGAGTTTAAAAGTAAGTTGAGACTCGGGGAAAAAACACATTTTAAGCCTGCTAATGAGCTGTTTATATTTATTTCTATCAAATATTATCATATCAAATGATAAGTATCACATTTTAAAAGAATAAACAAAAGAAATATTTGAAGAATTAATTTTTCACATAAGCCTTCCTAAGTGTCCCTGGTATACAACATAAATTTTCTGTGTGGTGCTAATGAGCCAATATTTATTTATTTTTTTTACTACTGGATAAAAAATAAAAGAAATGATATGTATTTATAAAAGGCCCCTATCTTGATATGATAGAAAAATATTTTTGAAATAAGTCCCTTCTAATTGAAGAAAACACTTTTCATTTAAAATGTAATTGATTTTTTGTTACAGAAATTTTTTTTAAAATTGAGAGAAGAAATCACTCCTAGATTTCTAACCACAAATAACTACTGGGAATACCTTTCTGCATTTATTTTTACTTTTTGTGCATAGTTTTATTGTTGTTTATAGATTTATAATCATAAAGCATCTATAATATCTTGATTTTTAACTTAATATTATAGTGTAAATGCATACTTTTATTTTTAAAAACTCTATAAGCTATATTTTCACAGCCAAATAATAGGTCATTACATGTATGCACATCACAGAATATCTGTTTATCCATCTAGATGCACAGATATTAACACACATACTCACACGCATACCTATACAGATGAAGAAGAGGGCGTTACAACTATGTTTAAAAGCACTTATATTTGCACTCACAATTACAGACTAAACATATGGAATTTCTTTCTGAAGTAAAAATATCCAGGGCTATCATCTTTGCTTTGGAATAGGAACCATAAGTTCTGTGTAAATAATCTTTATTTAGAAAGCAACCCCAGATAAACAACATTTTTTGAAATAAGAAATAAATGCATCCTGCTAATATTCTAAGTCTCCTCAAACATGATAAGTCAACCATTATACTTAACTAGACATTTTTAAAAATATGGAATTTCCAAGCGATATTAGTAAGTCCCAAATGACTCTCTCTGTCTGTGCATCCCTGCACTGATCAATGAATAATTTAAGGCATCTTAATAAGCACAACTGACGGCATTGCAGAGTTTGTCACTCCTGGTGCAAGTGTGAACTAATTAATGTTTCATTGTTCCCTCTCACAGATACTCTGTAGGAGCACCTGCCATCTGTGTGCACTTTCATCACACAGACATTTGGAAAAGTATTACTGTAAGTATTAGATGCCCTTTTAAATATTTACTCAGGTCGTATGACATTTCTTGAAGACTACAGGAGAAGACATTTGTTGTTCTATTTGGAGAGGGATTATAATAAAATGTTTTGAAAACTTTAACAACTGAATGAGCAGAAACCATAAAATATTATTTATCAGTTTTAACAAATATTGGAGGCTATAGGAAAATCATTACATTCTCTTTTTAAACAAACTCAGTTCATGAATGAGTTATATTGTAGCACTGTAA